GCTCGTTGAGCATCAGTTTCTAGAGCTATCGAGGCTTTCCTTTTCGTCGCACGTCGCGAATAACGGCCCAGCGGGCTCCGTCTGCCAGTCGACGGCATAACTAAGGAAGCACTTCAGAAGACCAGGCAAACAACAACCTCAAAGATTCCTCGACTTTCCCGAGAGAACACGGAAGAGTCGATTAGGGTCTCAGCTCAAACATCAGAAACTCCGGTTTTCACCAGATTCAAATCCTGTATTCGTAGGTCAGCTCCAGTTCGGATGGAATCATGACAAAGCTCTCGGGCACCTCTGGCACCGACGACTGTGGACCTAGAGCCGAAGGAACCATCAGCTGATGTCTTCGTAGAGGAGCGAGATCAAACATGACTAAGGTGACACGGGATTCATGGAATCAGGAAGATCATGAAAATCAACGACGCAAAACTGTTTATGGATGACAAAAATGTCAAAAAATAACGGAGCTTTTCCAATAGGGCATTTCAAACGGAATTACCCTAAAATCCCGACCATAAGGAACGCCTCGTATAGGGAGCTTCCCGTACAAGGAACCCCACGAATAGGGAACTCTCCGTATAAGGAACCCGGCCTATAGGGAACTTCCCTTACAAGGAACCTCACGTATAGGGAACTTTCCGTATAAGGAACCTGGGGAAGTTCCCTTTTGGCGAAGTTCCTCACACAGAGAGTCCCTAAGGATGGGGTTCCTTATGGGGGAAGTTCCCTAAGGATGGGGTTCCTTATACGGGAAGTTCCCTATAGGCGAGGTTCCCTATACGGGAAGTTCCCTATAGGCGAGGTTCCCTATACGGGAAGTTCGCTATAGGCGAGGTTCCATATACGGGAAGTTCCCTATACGGGAAGTTCCCTATGAGTAGGATTCCTTATACGGGAAGTTCCCTATGAGTAGGATTCCTTTCACGGGAAGTTCCCTATACGGTGCCCATTTCCGCATTTTTCCGGTTCCTTATGGTCGGGATTTTAGGGTCGATCCATTTTCTCTCTCAGAGAGACGTATTGCGGTCTCACGAAGGTAGCGAACAAATACTCTATCGATTCCACACTCTCAAATTCATTCGGGGGTTTTCCCCTCGACGAACGAACGGAAGCTGCGAGGAGCTGCGGCTCAACCCCCCTCCCCGGCCGCAGCCATGCGTGAGAGCGTTAAGTCCCTCCCCTGAGAATTTTCCTCTCTGGTTCGCGGAATGCTGTATGATTTTGAGTTTTATCAGGTACAAAAACGATGTCGACAGAAGGTCAGTCTCGAGATAGCGAAATCTACTACGAAGAATGTGCGCGACCATCCAATGAGCCGATTCCGATGATCCCGGCGCGAGCTCGTACCCAAGAAGGTCGCCGAGATGGAGAGCTACACGCTGCTCTCGAATCGGCAGCAGAACGCCGCGCGAATCAATTATCATACGGGTATGACCCAGCTGGAAAAGAGGACGATCCCGCCCCCGATCACTCCAAATCTCCGGAAACTACGACTACGGAAAAAAGACCGTTGATCTCCGATGAGCCTTCGGATCCGTTTCCCGCGCAAGAACGGATGAACACTCCGAAACAAACTTTCGATCCGGGCAAGCGACGGGACGGGAGTTCGCCGAAGAAAAAAAATGTCCCAACCATCGGGTCGCGGAATGCTCTTCCAGCCGACTTCGCCAGTCGTCAACGAGAAGCTCTCCTTGCAATTTGTCATGGTGAGAAGTTTTCAAAAGAAAGGGGGTCACGTTCCTCCTCGCTCATGCTTTTTCGGACGTGATGCGAGAAAATCTATCATATACGGTCGGCACGAAGTCGGCACGAATCGTCCGAGGCATAGGGAATCTAAAGCGGCATTCGCGCCGGTGATCAGAGACGATGGCCCTCCGAAGGTGATACGACCCTCGGTCCGTTTAGGGTGTCCGCAAGGCGCTACAATTCCCCGTCTCATTTCTATAATGACAGGCCGATCACCGACTTCGGAGCCGCGACCTCCTGCTCGACACAGCGTCCATGTTTTCGATCTGATCTGGACTTGTTTTGCGGTCCGCTCCGACCAATGGACCGTCTGTCGGCGACCACGAATCATGCCTCCCTCCTCTTTGCAGATAAGCCGAAGGCTGTCGAGGCTTGCACGAAGCTTCTCCAATCTTTACTGCCTCGACTCGAGAAAACTGATCTCCAGAACAGCCCAGCGAAACAATTCGCTATCGACCAGACTTTCCTGGGGGCTACAGAAATGCACCGCATGCTCTTGCTCCGAGTCAGTTTGGATACCAACGATGTTCCCCCTCGCCCCGCCGCACCCCTTATTATAAGTTCGTCCCCGTCTATGCTCATCACCGTCACCATATTTGCGTGATTTCAGACACTCACCTACGCGACGATCCAAGATTTCTTCAACAATCTCATGCGCTTCTTATCGGATCGACTGGCCCCTACCGATCAACAGGCAGCCGTGGGCCTCGCTCAAGTTGTGCAGCAGGTTCTCATGGCAGTGTCTGAAGTCTGCAATCTCCTAGAAAGGTCCGGCGGCGTGGACGTCACCGACTGGAAGACGGCCTCCGAAGTGATTATCAACGCATCAGCTCCCGAGAATCAACAGGCGAAAATCGATACCCTCGCCTACGTGATACCTCTGGATGAGTTTGAGAATCCGGTTCTGATTGGACTCGGTCAATTCAGCCGCATCTACCGGCTTCGCTGGAGACCCATAGACTCATACTGCGCCATGAAGATTGTTCCCCACGAGAAGTTTAATGCCTCGCTTTTCAGACAAAGATATGTCGACAAAACCGTGGCGGCCATAGCCCATGACCCCTGTCTGATTAAAGTACATTGCGTGTTCTCAGTGAAACCCGATTCGTACGTGATGGTAATGGACGTCGGAAGTAGACCGCGATATGACCTGCAGCGGATTTTGAGGGAGTTGGATTATCTGAAGGACGCAAGCGTAGGACTGATCTCCCTGCAGATAATTCTCGCGCTGGAGTCTCTCCACCTCAATGGCTTCGTGCATCGAGATCTCAATTGTGCAAACGTCCTTGTCGATAGTCACGGACACATCAAACTGATCGATTTTGATTCGGCAAGAATATGCTCTGGACATTTCATGACCCGGGTTATCCCAAGCTTCTTCCAGCGAACCGCTGAGGAATTTCATGACTCGGAAAGCGTGGCAACCAGCGCCTACAGAGCCCCGGAACTCCTAAAGGGGTCGCCGTACGGTCGAGCTTCTGATTGGTGGTCGTTGGGTGTTCTCATCTACAAGATCAGTACTGGGAAGTATCCGTATCGTTTGGCCACCGAGAGCCCCACCGGGAGACGATCACACGTCTTCGACGTCATCTGGCCAGAGAAGAAATTCGCGGCCTCTGAACTGACCAAGCAATTCACAAATGGGCTTCTGCAGAAAAAAGCGTCACGTCGGCTCGGTTCCAGGAGCTACGAAGACATAAAAAAACATGCATTTTTCGAGTATTTCCTCGCGATGCTCCAGGCCCTCCCGGTGAAGAAGAGAAAGAAAATACAGATGTTCACCAATCCACGACATCGAGTGAGGATTCCCGGCCTCAAGCGTTCCGAGTTCCCCCATTTCTTCAGACAGCTCCCGAATTATTAATCCACATGCCCTTTTTCCTCCTAAGATGTTCCTGAACAGGTGTTTAATCGATTTCTCGAAAGCGTTCGAGAATCTCCACGAGCATCTCGACGACGAAAACTGCGAGACAGTCTCAATCGAGATGATCCAGGATGAGACTCCGGCGAGACATCTACCGCTGATGACTTACGCGTCGATAAAGTTCCGAAAACTAATCGACAGGTTATCCTCTGGGGAGAAAGAACTCATACGGCTGCGAGAGACTCTCCTGGCAGCGAATACACCACCAGAGCTCGATATGGACTATTCTACGGCCACGGATTCCGAAGGTCGTGAAGAATGCGACCGAGTGACGGCACCGCAGAGCGACGTCACCCGGTCACCGGCTCGTTTTCCAGTAATGAAGCCATTCCTGGCGGGCGGTGAGCCCCTCGTGCGATTGATGGTGACGCCAGCAGAGGCCGGCTTCACGGTTCCGGTGGTGCAAAACGTCTCTGTTTTGGAGGACATCGGTTCTACGATCATCGAAGGTTTGTTGTCTTCAGCAGTGGCGTCCACAGGATTCTTTTTGGGGGGGCTAAATCGGGTCTTCGCATGGGGCTGATTCCCAACATAGCGACCCGCATATCTTAGTATCACGAACTCTCAATCTGAGAGGGGGCTATAGCCCCGTAGCCCCCCTCTGAGGAAGCGCCTGGTCTCCAGCGAGGAAGTCGAAACCTTCAGGAAAAGTTTCCTGCTCTCCTGGGCGTCGAGGTGACCTTGTGACCTGTGACCAATCCGTAGGTGACATCGTAATAAGCATCCGGGGCGAATTATGTCTGGACAAGTCCGTCGAGGAAGTGTACGCGCTCACCCAAGTCTCTGACGAAATCACGAAGACTGTGGACTGCGAAGTCGCGTCCAAGACCGTGTTCAGGCTCATAGAGGACGACCAAGACAATGCGCTCCGGTACATGGAATCGGCAACTCGTTCTACAATGCGTATGCTGAACCCGAGCGTCCCTTCTGTCCCATCGGGATTCCTCGATGACCACGGTACTACACGGTCCGGATAGTGCGGTAAGGGAGTTCGTTCATTGGATCCGCGACCAATAACGGGGAAGAGCCGCATATTTCAGAGAGGTCCCAAGTTCCGATGGTAGCTGCCCTCAAAACACGGTCCTTCAATCTGAGAGGTTCTGGCGGATTTGCGAATTATCATGCGATTATCTTCGTGCACTCGGATCTACAAGTGAGCCCACCCGAGGCCGCGCTCTTCCACGGAGACGTTCTGATCGGCATCAATGAAACCAAGGGTTCGTTCTACGATGAGGCTGCACTCGAAAACATCTTCCGGCGGGCGACACAGCCTGTCCAGATAGAGATTCTCGAAACATCCGCGCTGCGGAACAGCAACGGGACGTGACTTTTCCCCTTAGCGGGAACTTCCCTCAGAATATCGTTCACCTGCAGATACTGGTTTCGATTATTGATTGTTGTGGTGGTATTTAAAGTTCAGTATAGCGACGCAAATGACTTTGTCGATATTAAAGTTATCTTCCAATATGCTCTATTCTTTCTGGGGTAATAATCATACGCGTGCGACCCTTCCTCTCCATCGAACGTCGTTACATCCGAAAAAGGGGATCATGTGAGTGTGAGTTTCGGGTTCTGATCCGCTCGGGCTACACCTGGAGCACCTCCACGTGACCTCGTGCTGACATCGGCAGCTTCCTTGGCACGCCGAGATATCCCTTTAGAGCATTGGTCCTCGATTACTGGACCTACACGGCGTGAAAAGAGGCAATAGAGCTTATGCTTACCGTAAATATTTCAATATATATGTACAACGGGCTCCTATCGTCTCGAACCGCTTCGCAGAGGGGCTTCCATTGGAGGTGAGCTCCTGTAGGAGAGGGGCTTCTACATATTTCGTGACCCTATAATCCTCAAAAGGAACTGCGAGTGCGAAAAGGGGGAGGGGGACTGAGGGGAAGGTAGGAGGAAAAGGTGAAAGAGCCATAGGGAAAAATGCATTGACGCACTACCCAGAAGAGTGGAAAATTCAACTGGAGTGTGGGGCTCATGTACATAATACCCACTAAAAAACCTATGGCTCTTAACCTGAGGGGAGAGAGCGGATAGTGTTGGATTTGAAGAGTTTCGGATCATACGTTGGAGGGAAGACATGAGGTGGAAGGGCATTCCATAGACGGGATGTGCGGGGGAAAAAAGTGGAGGCGAATTGAGCAGTACGATTTGAGGAAAGTTGGACGGAGTAGGGATGCTGCTTGGTGTTCTTTCTGGTCACACGGGCGGGGACCAAAATAGGGGGAACGAGGGAAGAGATTTCATCTGGACATTCTCCATAGAGGTATCGATAAAATAGGCAGAGGTCGGTAACGTTACGACGCGAGGATGAAGATTCAAGTGAAGAGGATATGGCTGAATCACCGATGAGACGGATAGCACGTTTTTGAATAGAGTCCAGGATAGAGAGGGATGAAGGAGCGGCTTCACCCCAGATATGCGAGCAGTACTCAAGAGAGGGATTACAGGGAAGCTCCTCACGATTCTATGCGCTGTTGTGCAATGACGTGGATTAGGAAGGAGAGACTCCAGAAAGCTGGAGTCAGCGTGACTTCTGCAACTCCAGTTATGTTCTGGAACAGATCTTCTCGGAAATCTCATTCGATTGCCCTCAAGGGGCTCCTGACCGAGACGAGCTACTATTGGAGACGAGCTCCTACTCGACTCTAGAATACTCGGGCTTGTTCTTTAATGTTCTCTCCTTTCCCTAAGTCGACGATTTGCCCGGGTATGTCTAGGAACATAATGGTCCTCTCGTGAATCCCACTAGTGACCCCTCGAGGCAGCATGGCAAAAATCATTGCCGATTCCCCCATCGGTGTCCCAATGATGAACGAAAAACTTCTGCACGAGAGGGGCCGTGACAAAGAAGACAATCAGAAGCTCCCAGCCCCTCGTTCCGGTCTCTGTTATCCAGCTTACCAACGAAAAAAGTCTGGCGCCGCCGCTGCTTGTACGGAATCATTTCCGGGACACGGATCAAGAATACCGTCCGGGATGGGAATGTTCGCTCAGACCGATCGAGGACGCTTGGTCAGGGGATCGCTCGCCGGTGGAAGGGAGTTCCGTCTCGCGCATTCGACTGCGCCATCGAAATGGCCGAGGATTCCTTCTCGGGTCCGTTGCGGATTACAGGTAAAAACAGGAATCAATGTCTGCTCGGTCTTACTAATCCGCGAATCTGTGCTTATTAGGCCCGGGCGTCCTCGGGGTTTTCCCGGGGGGCGGAGAGTAAATGGCGGGATGGAAGTGGCTGCGGGGGCGGCCGTGGGCTAGGAATCATGAGAGCTCTGGTACTTTGACGCGGCGAAAGAGAGGTCCGGATACTAGCCCAAGTCGATTACAAAGATTGATCCGAGCGATCAGAGCCAGCGAAAAGTGAGGTCGGCTTTGGGTCATAGATATGGAGTACATGAGAGACTATATATGAATCGAGCTAAATTGTGCACATACAACTCCGGATCTATCGTTGCCCAAAGTCATGCCATCGCCTCCACCATTCTCGCAGAATCGCCCGTATAAGGAATCAGGACGGAGCTGTCTATTGAATTTTCAGTATCCCATCCCTGAACGGGAGGATCTGATCGAACTGCGAGGCGATTTGATAATGCGGAAACAGCCTCTCGATGGATTGCCTGAAGAGAAGAATATTAAATCCGAGGTGTTGATGAAGCCAGGTGCGACGGACGTTTCCCGATGCCGCGACGCAGCGTCAAAGGAGGGAGTCCCGGAGCGTGTGGCTCGGACGAATCCCTCACAAGCGAGATTTCTCGTCTGTGGAACCGAACCGCATTTCTCGTCTGTGCTTGAGTGGATGGTTGCTCGTTCGCTTGTTCATGAAGATGAATTCGAATCGGAGCAAGACGGTAGCTGAATCGAACACGGGTTTTGTGTCACCTGCCCCCACCGCGCTTCGAGCAGGCCGACGAGGTGTTTGTTTCCCTTGACATCACTCCATTTATACCTATAGATCTGTGTGTTTGCGCAACAAACATACATATGGTGCTGCACTACCACCATCATCATCACCACCACGAATGCGACCGACTCGCCAAACACCATTTGTCGGATGTCATGCTAATGCTTTTGCGGCTTCTGCGATTCGTCTTCGGCTCGTGTCTCCGACTGACGACGTCAAGGCAGGGATGAGTGAGGATTCTCGCTCCTCATTCGTGCCCCACAACGGGGAACCTCTGTACATATACGTACCTAACAATTTATTCATTGGATCTCATGGTGTTTCGGGTCGGGGAGGCGAAGCCCTGCGATAAGAGCATCGTCCCATCGAGAAATCGAATCTAATCGCTGGCACGAAGAGGAGACGTCGCAAGCGACGCTTTCAGCGTGAACGAGGGTATTTTTGCTCGAGACAGAGTCGTGGCGAAAAGTCTCGGCCTGAAACGTATCTAGTTACGTTCCGCATGCAGATGTGATCCGGGAGTCCGTGTGATCCACTGAGCAGAGGATTAGCAACTTTTCACCGCCCCCTCAGATGCACACTCCCATCGGGTTAGCAGATTTTGAGCAACATTTTCAAGCATCCCGATGGAGCGAATGATTTCTACTTATAGTGATAAGCTGTTAACCCATCCCGGAGATGCGCGCTTGAGATCGTTGTTCATTGGCCTCTTCAAACAAGGTCCTTCAGTCTGTCGTGGACGGGATTCGAGAGGACGGAAAGACGCCTCTATTCGCTACAGGCGACACCAAAATATCTCTCATCCATTCCCATTGTCCGATGCGTCGGCAGTGGTGACGTTGTTAAGAGGACTGGAGGCAGCTTCGGGTAGGGAACGGAGAGGGTTATGAGGTGGTCTCGGGGGGGGGAGGGCTGTTTGTTCATTCAGATGTTGGGTTCGTATGGTTGGTTGCTTGGCCGACACCTCCCACGAGAGCGAATCTTTCCTTTCTCTACCAGCCGCTGCTTCTGTTGGTCAAGCTGACTCCATCCCTATTCTCGGTGGACGGCGGAAAAAAGTCGACAATGACTCTCATGCCGACTCGGCACCCCTCAAAGCGAGCGGACAAACAGCTTTCATTTGTTCGAAGTTTTGCAAATATCCGTAGGGTCGGAGGGTCTCGGCTCGAATCGAATTTCTCAGCTTCTCCGCGACGAGTCAATGCTTCGAGTTTGGAGCAAATCTCGCGAGTCATCTCCGAGCGCAGCCTCCGAGACCAGTCTCCGAGATCAGCATCGGCCGTCCCGTTCTGATATTTTGGCTTCACCCGCACAGCTCCTGCAGGCCGTCAATTTTTTAGAGAATTCTAGATCCGTAGAAGAATATTAGGAGCGGTATAAGACACTAGAAAATTATATGCGTTATAAGATATCAGAAAATTATATGCGGCATAAGATATTAGGAAATTATATGCGGTGTAAGGCATCAGAAAGTTATATGCGGAGAGATTCCGGGAAACTCCCGGAGCCGAATCGATGCGGAGAGCGGGTACCATAGCGGGAAGTCAAAGGTTCGAAAGTCGGCGTAGTGTACTCGGCAAGTGTCGACGGCGAGTCAATTAGTCCACCTGAACTTTGTTAAGCGTTTAGTCTACTCGCTGCAAGCATCGGGACGCATTATTAACCCGAACGAACTCGGGACATTCAAGCATCTGCTAGGGGATCGTCGTACTCTGCGTCTGGGTCTGGCACGGGCGACGCGAGGAATATGCATCCTCAAATTTTGCGATTCGCTCGCGGGCACATCCGCTAGAAGTCAGCTCCGCTCGTCAGGAGCGAACATCAGTTTCGAATGGCTCGATCGCGCTCGCTCGATTCTAAATTCCCTGGTGAAAGGCCTCGCTTAACCAAGTCGGCGCTAAGTTCGCATCGCTGGAGGATCGATGGAGCCCTGCGACGAACACGAACATGCGAAAGCGTTGTGTCGGATTCTCTGAGCGAAATCTAACTCCTCGAGGAAAAATCCTCGACAACTCACCGTCTGCAATGATATCGCTACGATCTGTGGCATGTTACAGAAGCACGAGCATTAGTGGCAGTTCTCGAATTTAGGAGGAGAGAAAAAACACTGAACTCGAAGCATTGAGTTGAAACGATATTGATTTCACAGACAGCCGAGGATTGTGCTTTGTCTGTGGATCCCATTAGAGCAAAGAGAGCTACTTATCAACAATGGTCACAATGCTCGTTCGGAGGCAATGCATATTCATAGGATATATATCTTCCGCTTCGTCTGAGCCCTGTGTCGGTCCCGCTAAACACAATACGACGCGGGCCGGTTGACTAGCGACAGAGGGGGAGAGCAAGAGCGAACAAGCAAACAAGCCCACCGCTCGTCATACATACTACTCAACGACAACATAAACGGAAAGCTCGTT